CAGGAAGGAGAACAGACTCTCCATAAACAAGACAGAAATTACTCTACTAATGATTAGTCCTAAAGCAAAGTCTTAAAAGACAAAAGGCATTAGTCATTGAAGGACTGTTTTTCTGCACCTCAGAGCATTTAAAGAGATGCAGCGTAACTGAACTAAGTTAGTCAACTGTTTTCCCCAGCAACAAGTTATATGAGAGGGAATTACTAACAGCCAGTTGTCTCTTGCCTGAAATATAAGACTAAATAAAAGCAAACAAAATCACAGCCAGAAAAGCTCTACTTTCTTCTCACTCAGTGAACCAGGCCAACAACAAAACCACAATACCGTATATTTTATTTAAATTAACAAATCTACATGTTTTCCAGGTTGCCTAAAGCATTCTGTAAAAAGTGAACACAATCTAAACAAAAAAAGGATATAGTTTAATAAGACCCATGGACTACTTATGAGACATATGAGAAGGGTTTTTGACACAAATTTGGTTTTAAAGCTGCAATGCCCCATTTGTAAAGAGCCTTTACAAAATGCAATGCTATACTAAGCTGTAAAAGAAATCATGGACACATGTATTCAAATAACATAAATATTATATAAGAACCCAATGTAAAAAGAATGTTAAAGTTGCAAAGTCGAGCACTCAGCCAGGAAAATGCTGGAATTATGGTTATGTGCATTAATTTAATTCACCTCCTAGTTGAAGAACTACTGCAGTACACATTATTTTTTCTTCTAGCACTTGCTTCCTTATACAAATTGCTAACAAATTACATTTTGCTATCACTGTGGAAAGCATGGTCCTAGAACTTATTCCACATACAGTAAGTATCCCCCTCCTCTTTTTTTTTTTTTTTTTAATAAGATATCCTTTGAGTACAGGGACATTATTATCCCATTTTACAAAAAGATAAGCTTATCAAAAATGTTTACTGTTCCAGTTCAAGTATTCAAAATCATCCAAAGCTCCCCCACTCCTTTTTTAAGTAGTATTTAGCACTTTTTTGTGCTACAGTGATTTCATAAGTTCAAACATAGCAGCATATGAATGACTTCAGATTCTGGAGTGTTGCATTCAACATTCCTCAAGTTTGACCCAATGCGTCTTGAATGAGACTAGTCGGGACAGGATTCTTAGCTTCACAGCCTCAACTCCTGCCCAGAGCCCAAAACACACAAACAAAACAATTTATCATAAAAATAGTATGCAATGCTCTTTAATTTCATGTCTTAATACATACATTGGCTAGAGATGGACTAAGGCTACACAGGTCATCTTAATCTGATACTTCCTAATTATGCTTTGATTTTGCAGTTTATGTGTTAATTTCAGAGGTTTAAAGAACGCAAGGATAAGATGTCACCTTTTTTAGGACAGCATTTCTACTGGCACCTGTGAGAACTGTTGGCATCTGCAGAAGCTGCAGTTCTCTCGGGAGTCTCGGCTACCTCAGCAATCGACAGCAGAAGCAGATTCTTATCTTTTAAGGACAAAACTGGGCCAGGGAGGTTGAGATACAATAGCAGTTAACACAGACATTGATTAGTATCAGGTAATGAGGCTCTTTGGATTCTCAGGCTGTCCTCCAGGTCCTGGAAGAACCTATGTCCTAAGCAGGATGAGCCCTTTGGTCCACAGTTCTTCCAGCCCAAGCCATCAAAAGTTCTCTTTTAACTTGTCCCCAGCATAGTCCAGTCTAAGCCTCCAACCCATACTAGTGCCCATTCTCCTCCACTGCTGATCATCTCACAAGAGTTCCACCTATTCACAGAAGGGGGGTGATCTCATCTTCTACTACTGCTTTTCCTCTGAAAAGCAAATAACCATGCTAGTGTATGACAAGTGGGTTTTTTTCAAGTCTGTTAATTGCTAGAAAAATCCATCTCTACCAAGTATGCTCCATTCTGGCAATCTGCCCAACTTACAGGCATGGAAACTGAGAACAGAGCCTCCCCTGTGCTCTGTGCTCTTTCTGTTCTTCCTCATGGCACATAAGCAGCATAAAAATGAAGGAGCCATAACAAATAGGTAAGATAGAGGAAGACAACAAGAGACAGCAGAGCCAAAAGGGCTGAGAAATAGGTAGGAGCTGGCTATAAGAACCATAACTCTAGGAATTCAGGCAGGAGCTCTAGAGCACATATTTCTCCTGCAACTGAAACTGAACTCAGGCATCAAGTTTTTACATTTCCTATATTCAACAAACAGTAAAATCTACTGAAAAAGCATGTTGCTGCTTCTTCTACTACTTAAATCTTATATGTTACAAACAATCTACTGCCTTCCCCGGTTATGCTTCACTCAAGTGATACGAGGTTTGCTGTAGAGTTAGAGGGCTGTACTAACGACCACAAATTGGGTTCCATATGGTTATAGATGATGGAATTAAATGTTTTTAAAGTGAGGCTTTAGTCCATCCCCCAAGCCTAACACCTTGCTTAAGAAGCTACACATACGAAAAAAACTCAAAATACTGAATACCTGCTCATTAACTGAGCTCCATTCACTGCTTGCACTGCATGCACAGGCCTAAGGTAGCCAAGTAAAAATTACCCAATGTCAGGTCTGCCACTTCCTAACTTCTGAATGTGCGACTTTGCAACCTTAATGCTTTTCTAGCAGATCTTTACGTGCTTGAGTGTAACACAATATATGTATCCCTCCCCCCAGAAATAACTACTCCGTATTAAAGAGTTTACAAATGTTCTGCTTGGTGTCACTGCTCTATGAAAAGACGCTAGATATTGGGCATTCATAAAGCAAGTTACTTAGACACATCTCCTCAAGGAGGATGCTGTATCGTCCTGTGTACTCCACTTCATCCTGTGTCTCAGTTGAGATGTTCTCAGTGTTACTCCTGAGCTTCCTTGCGAGCTAGCTTATAAACCTCTGTTGGCCCATCCACATGGGTGATTGTGGTGGTGAGCTGAAGCTCTTCGCCACTGTTTACACCCAGGTCACCTGAGAAACAAAGTTATTCTGTTAGACTGCTCTCACAATAAAACATTGGACAGTGAGAAGGCAAAGGATATATTTTATTCACCCCTGACTTTCAGAAGCAATAATGTGAACTAAGAACTACGTAACATTTCTATTAATCCTTTTATGTAAAGCTATTTAAATACAAGCATATTTGAAGATGAAGATTTCTGTGCTACTGAAGACTACTGAAAGGAAACCAGCAATATTAATTAATATTAAAACAAATTAATATTAAAAAAGAAAAACAGCTAGAATGTTTTTAGAAAGCATTAACTAAGTACGCAGACTTTTCTGATGTAGTCATCAAATAAAATGTCTGCAAAAACAAAGTGTTTTGAAAAACAAACTATCATTTGAATAACATTTCAGGGTGATAAATTTGCCTTTCAGTAAAAAAGCACACAAGTATCACCCATTTGATATTCCTTTCTTCCCACAGTAGCCTTCATGTGCAGATCATTTAGAGCTACCTACTGTTTGACTGATCTTCACCGTAATTCTTGTGTGATGGAGCATACAGGAACATAAGTGCAAAGACGTACAGGTTCCACATCCCATAGATGCCTGTGAAGAAGGCGCTGTTCACCTGTATTGTTATGTCCCCCCACTTCCAGTGGCCTTCAGTCACCTGTCCATGAGACATCAGACACACACTGACACGTTCAGTTAAGGCTGAATTCACAGCAGCTCATAAAATACAGAAATAAGCTCTATAGCACTAGCTTTGAGTAAATTAATAAGAAAACGTCAGTACAACAGGATCAAGTAAATGGATGTGTAATAAGATTCAGTAACACTGACATTAGCCTAGAATTCTCTTTTTTAGCCTCCATCTGCAGAAAAAAAAATAGAACTTACAAAAGGATCACATCAGACGATTTCTTTGATTTATCATTCTTACATGTGACAAAATCTCTCATTCTGCGATATATCATTGCCATAACTGATGTGTTCAGGAAAGATTGTCACATAAAGGGCACTACCTAGGAGACAACTACTTACATCTGAAAACATTAGACTTCTATAAATAGACCTTTTATACAAGGAAAAACAGCATGAATAATGTGAAAAGCTAATGTGCTGAATGCCTTCTTGCTGCTTCTGTTTTATGACAGAGACCTAGGCTGACAGCATCAGCCTTAGACATACAGAGATTTGTCAAGATTTATGAAAGTATCATCAAAATTAATATTACTTGAAGATATACAGACTGTTCACACTGCAATGTTGGCTTTCCATTAAAGAAACAGACACAAGGTGATAGCATGCCTTTTCCTGATAAGGAGAGTTTCCCTTTGGAAACAATTGAAAGTTCTGCTCCAAAGAGAAGCCACAAGAGTACAAGCCTTGCCTTTACAGAAATCCAGACTAGCTTGGAAAGAGGAGCTGGACAAGATAGTTTGTGTTATGCCCATAAACAGAGACGGTTAAGGTCATTACTACTCAGTGAGTGCTGCACCGAATTGTAAAGTGGTCTTTCTCAAATCCTTGCTTCAGTCTAACAGATTTTTAGACCAAAATCTTCTGCTGCTATATTCTCTGTTAGGACATCCCACATACCGCAAAGCATAAGCAGTGCAGAGAGGGAGAAAATATTCCTGAACATGTAATTCTATAGAGTACACAGTAAGAAGATAGTTCAGCATCTTTGGATCTGCAAGGCTGTATCCACTGTTCTTCTGAAGCTGCAAGCTGCTTGTGCTTAGGAACAACCATAAACGCCATCTTTGAGACAAATGCAATTTTAACAGTAGGCTATCACTTTTAAGCTCATTTGTACAGAAAGACTGCATCCTAGCTCAGAATAAATAGGTATATATGCTGTTAGAAACAATACGGTTGCTAAATATTTCCTGTTTTTTGACTTAATGCTGATATTTCTTATGTTTCTTTGTGGGAATAAAAAGCCACAGGATTCCTTTAACATGAATGGAACATTTTTCCTCTTGCTGGGTTCTCAACTATTTTGGCTGATATTTCAAAAAACACAGGCCCAGACTTTACTATGAGCCAGAGGCCTTTGTGAAAGTTTCAGCCTAAACAGTTTTATGGCAGCCTTAAAACAAGTTCTTAAAAAGCGAATCTACCTACAACATGCACACAGACCTTTCTCTCTAAACTACAAGTAGCTGACATTGTTAGTAACTGGAGAATTTGAGGCTGACATTCTCCAGTGGAGCTGAATTTCAGCACACTCACCTGACTCACTATAAAGAAAATGACTGTCATTGCTGCACAAGCCAGAGTAATGAGCATCAAGAACTTGAACCTAAAAATCAGCCCCTGTTTAGAAAGAAATGTCACTGGTCAATTAACAGAATCCACAAAAAACCATTTTTGTTTTTAGCATGTAAAAGACAAGTCAGAAAAAAAAAAAGTCCAACCCACGAAACCCCAAACCAAAACAACTTCCGCCCACTCCTTTGTACCGTGCTCCTGACAGGCAATATTCTCCATTCCCCACACACGTCTGCATTCCTCCCCGATATACCGAGTAGGGCGTACATGTCTGGACAGCTCTTGCTTTCCATTACACTTGCTTTTGTGACTGATTTACTATGAGGTAATGTGAAAGAGGAGGCACATCAGTCTAAGCTAGAGGTTTCATTAACTGAACAGCAAATCTGATAGCTCTCAGCTTTTGTTAAGCAAATAGAAATGCCTTTGGTCTAGAATAACATCTGTGGAGAGATGATATATTTTAGCAAGGCACCTCTGTGTTTCTAGAGTGATGATACTGGGTTTGTACAAGCCGACTAATCGTCACCCCCAAAGACTATCTGGCAGGAAATTACAGCAATTCTAAATGCTTATCAAAAATTAGGCTATGTATTGCAAAAGAATGTAGATTATAAGACAAATAATTTATGGCTCAAAATCACATTTTTTGGAATCTTACCATGTGTGTTATTTGCTTTTACTAGTTTTAAAATTTTACTACCAAAAAAAAAAAAAGTTTGGCATTTAGTTCCTTTCTTCTTTTTCTTCTTTTTAATTGTTTCTGGAATTTTGATGGAAATGTTAGCGCGTGCATAACTATTAGGCCATAACATGACAACAAATGGCTTTTAATTTAACTCTTCCAGATAGGATTCAGGCCTACTAGATGATCGTATTTGGAGCACTGCTGCAACAGCAGTACAATACAAGCTATAGTCTTTCGATAAAGAGAAAGATGAAAAAAAAAAGCTAAATATCTTGTCCAGATTGTTTCAGATCCTATTTTCTCTTTGGAAGGAATTATGTGCATTCTTGATGAGTGATAACTGATCTGTTCAAATCAGAAGCGATCATTATTAAACAGAACAATATTGGTGATAAATATTTACACACCCATGAAAACAACAGGCGCTCTCAGCTTTAGCACTTAAAGTGAGCTCCTCTTGTTTTGCAGCAATTAAAGACAGCTAGGACAGAAATAACATACAAAAACACAGGCTAAAAAGGGGATAATTAGCTGAACACATTGGATTTTAATCCTATTCTGACAGTTTCCCTCCTGTAATTTGTCTAGGAAAAATAACCCCATAAATCTGTGAATGCGCACCGTGGAAAAACAGGAAGTTCTTAGTAATACTTCCCATTAAACAAGTCACTGATATTGCAGGAGGAGAAACTGGGATACAGAGAGCTTGATGTGCTTTCTCCCCATAGTAGCTTAAACTGTAATTTGGAGAATTATCCTCTATCCTCAAACACTGTTCTGAGGGAAAGGACAGTAAACTGGGAGATCACAATTACTCATGAAAATGAGAGCTAGCTTACATATCCTCCTGAGAGATCAAAACATTACATCAGGGATAAAGATCCAAATAAAGAAAAAAACATCGTTAATAACAGTCTAAAGGAACACAAAGGCCATTAGGAAGATTGCAGCAACATAAGAAAGCCGATAAAAATCAGATTTTCCAGGTTCAGGAAAAGATTGATAGAAAAGTTTTCAGTGTGCTCTTGAAAAATCACAATAAGGCTGAAAATGCGTTTTAAAAATAAAAAGACTAAGTGATAACAAGTTACTACCTCATAATGAAGGCGGCGAGCCTTGCTCATGGCTGGGAGGCTTGACTGTTTTCCACTGATGTTTCTAAACACTTGAAAGACCATAAAACACAGGAAGAGAAAATACAGACACAAGCAAATGCCTGCAACTATAATAAAGGCCATCTGAACAGTATAAGTTAAAAGAAAATAGTATAAACTAAACATTATTCAGGTAATTCACTTCTATTAGTAATATCACAAAGATCATAATTAAACTTTTCAAGTGCAGCAGTTATTAAAGACGGGCGGCAGCTCCGACATGAGCAAGGGAGCGTGCTTGATGAGCCCTCCTCCCCCGTTCAGCCTCAGCGCTGATGCTCTGATGTTCCCCCAAGCGCTCGACATGGTCTTAATGAGGGATAAAATATTGAAAGGCCTGCCAGCTAGAAAGGCTGAGCTGGAATCGACACTTCTGCTCCAATGGCAGGAGGAGGCAAGGGCTCAGCAGAGATGTTGCAAAGCAGTCGCCAACCAGCGTGCAATCTTTGAAGAGACTCCTGCGAGAGGGCTGGGATGCAGCGGAAGGGGAACTAATCGTGTTAGCTTATCTCAGCCCAGCAATAAAAATTAACGGCAGCGGCAGCACTTCCAACAGGACCAGGCAGCTCCAAAGAGCAATACATAGAAATGCTTCAGCAACGCACACCCAAGTCACAGCAGCAAAATGAATGGCCCCGGAGAAAATGCTGTTGCAGCTCAGGCCACGAGGGGGAAAGCAGCGCGGGTGCTGCTGGAACAGCACTTGTTCTGTCATTACTGTGATAACTCCCAGGACCTAAATCCTCCCTTGCATCTCTCCAAATTGCAGACAGGGGTACCCAGCTGGGGCTGCTTCTTCAAAACCACACCAGCATCTTCCACAACCCCTGAGCCCTACCTGACAGCCCCAGCCTACCAAAAGGAAGAAAGTTTCCCCTCCTTCAGCAGGTATCTGGCAGGAGTATTTGCAGGAAGGGAACATACATTTCCCTCCCCAGCAGCAACGGTCCTTGCCCAAGCCCAACAGAAGGATACAGCCAGCTCCGTGCCCACTTCAGTGGTCCAGATACTGTAGAAGGGATTTTTCAGTTGCACTCCCCTGGAAAGAGGAGAGAAAACACGGCACTGTCACAGAATGCCAAAAGACTCGGAGAGAAGCACACTTCTCCTCTGCAGCCTGGAAAGAGCCAGACAACATTGCTTTCCCCTTCTGGGATGAGGAGAAGACAAGGTGGGAAGCATTTCTTTTAGGCCCTAGGGGACAGGATATGCTACTCTGACATGTCAGAATACTGCAGAGTTTTCATTAGGAGTCTGTTCTCTCTTCAGAGAGAAAGATTGCCCTTCATTGGTGGGACAACAGTTGTCAGCAGGGGCACACATCTGTGTGTGCCTGCATGTTTGGGCTTGTGTGCATGATCACCTCAGTCTCTTCAGTTGACTTGGCCCTTTCCAGTGCTGCAAAAATATACTCATGTTTATTAGCGCTTCTCACTGACCCTCAGAAGGACCCGCAGAGGAAAGAGTAAGGACTCATCACATCTCTGTCCATATCCTTCCACTAGGGAGAAAAACAAGAAATGTACTGCAGCACGTGAGATGCATTTGTGCATCCAGCCACGCGAGTTAAACCATTTACTTGCTCACTCACTGAGGCATCTTGAAACCATGTCCTCAAAAACAGACAGGGACCAGGAGATCCCAGGAGGGGCATAAAAGCTCTGTCCTTCTCCTCCTCATGTCACAGTGTGTGCAACAAGACTCACATGCACTCGCGTGGATTCAGACACTGAGCCTCCAGCACTGCAGTACTCCTGCTCACTGTTGCAGAAGGCAGCCTGCCTAAGCCTCCTCTGCACGTCGTTAAGGAAAGGCTCATCTTTCGTGTCAGAGCAGACACTCTGCAGGGCTTCACCTACCTCTCACACATGTCAAAGATGAAGAGGCAGAAGGAGCCAACAGCTATGGGTCCAACCTGCTTCCAGTACCCAGAGAGACGATTCCGTTCGTTCTGATCCTACTCAAAGGGTCAAGAGGTGGGGAGGAGAGCAGGAGAAACCAAGAACAGCAAGTTAGCGTGTTATCGTCTGATCTGGAACGAGGCCCCACAACACTATTTCCAATATACAGCAAGTAAAGGGCGGTTGCCCAGGTATTGCTCAAAGCGGGGATGGAAACCACTTTCCGTTCTGTGTCATGCCTACCATCATGTGCTCTCCGCAGAAGATGATCCAAAATGACAGGAGCATGGCATAGAAAATGCCTTGTCGAATGTCTCCAAACAGTAACATCCAAGTCCAGTCAAATCCAATGGAAAACCACTCCACTGGGATGTTAATGAATGTCATGGAAATTCCCAGAGCAAAGATGACCCTGGAAAAGCAGAAACACAGTCTTGTTCTAGCTTGCAAGGAAGAGATACAGAGCGATAGAAACCAGAGGAGTGCAAGAACAATGATACAAGGAATCAGGCAGCGTTGGATGGGTGGCAGTGGGGGTGTTTCCAGAGCCAGAGGCAGCACCTCCCTTCCACCAGACCCTTTGGGACTAAGCCCTCGCAGCAGCCACAAGCAAATGCAGCCCCAGATGAAGCAGCCTGGCCCACGTGTGCCCTGAGGGAATGGGTCTTTGCTTGGCGAGGCTTGATAGAGGTTGTGATTTTGTCATGGATCTCAGTTAGTGGTTCCTGTATGTGCCCCAAAATCTACCAAACACAGACTGACCACCCACTGACTTGGAACAGCCCAGCAACTCCACTCACCCATGGGGATAGAGGGAGTAGTCACCAATTCTGTGGGTTTAAGGGGAAAGGAAGAAAGGAGTAGCCATCGAGCTCTCCTGCTCCCAGGTGCCTGGCTGAAGGAATGGGACAGGGAGAAGAGAGATAACTCCAACACAAGGACTGGAGCAGGAGCCACCTAGGTCAGGGTCCGGGGATATCAGCACTGGGGTCTCTTGCCTCAGGGCCACCTTATCCAAGAGTGTTCGCCCCTACTCACTTCTCCAGCAGGACAGGAGCACGTGTCATCAGTGTGATCCGTCTCCAATACCAGACCATGATAATTAAAATGCTGGGGGTGAGGAAAGTTTTCATGGCAAACCACACTTTTGTAAAGCCTCCATTTTGATGGATACCCTAAAGAAAAATGAGGTTGACTACAACAGCTGTACACATTTTAATGTCATTACTCCTACTTATGCTTATTCTTACATTCTGTGCTTATTCTCCTGTGCTGACAGGAGAGGCAAGTACATTGCAGTATTTAACATGTAAGAAAACGTAGAGGCAACCGCTCTCACTCAAATACACTGTTTGTTCAGGAAAGAGCAGCTGCCTACTCAGCACCCAGACCATCCAAGCAGACTTCAAAAGTCCTGAAAACTAACGCTAAAACATGCAGCTTTCATCATAAGGAACAACGTGGTCTGAGAGAGAAGCACTTCTGACACAGCATGGAAAAAGCATACCAAACTGTTCCCAAAAAGTAACAAGACGCATACAACGCTAAGTCACCACTGCTAGGAAGAACACCAGCCAAATTAATGTGTTTCTCCAGACACCTGGCCTCCCTGCCCCATTTGTGAACACTATAGCAAGCTGGCTGACAAGTTCTCCTGAAAGAGAGAGCAGTAGGAGGCTTGCTAGCCGACAGCAAGCACGACCATCAAACCCCAAGGGAGCGCAGAAAGAAGGATAGCTGACAGCTGTTCCAGACACTTGCTTCGAGATAGCCAACTCCGTGACAGAGCTGGGTACCCTCCGAACCCATTTCTCCCACTTCCCTCGCTTCTTAGCTCTTTACCATAAGGGCCAAGAGGAGAGCTCTATGCCCAAGTCAGACCACCACAAGGAGGGGAGGAAAGAAAGGGAGCCCTCAGAAACATGGGAAGAGCCTCGCTCTGGAGTTGGTCACTGGGGAGCTCAGGAGAAGGGCGCTGCTCAGGGCTCAGGTAGGGAACCAGGCAGGGCTCGTCAGAGGAGAACGGTCGAAGAGGAGATCCCTTGGGAAAGAGGAAGCACTTGACTCTCCTGTCAGCACAGGAGAGCACAGGTCAGCACATTAACAGCAGGAAACACCTGTGAAGAAGCACAGACCTACTTTGTAGATTAAATAGGAGGAAAACAAGAAAGGCGTCACAACAGCCAGCAGTTACTCTGCAATGACAGTTCCAGTCCAGAAGCACCTGCTGGCTCCAGCACCCCACAGAGTACAGTCATTCCCTAAAGCGAGGCGACGAACCCCCATATAGGCAAAATGAACACTTACTACGAGGCGAATATCCTTTATCTCCCCAATCCCCACGTTAATGCCTTTCCTCTCGTTCACAGGGAGACGAATGTTGATGAGGTAGTACTTGTGAGCCACACTTCCAATCTCCATGAACGGAAGGAAGTCACAGTCATAGTGACGGCCTTCAGACTCCAGGGTCTAGTGAAAGAACACAAAGTGGCAATAGTGGTCAGCCTTTTATGTAGGAGCACACTTTCGCTGTGCATTTCTGTAAAACTCCCAGCTCTGAACATAGCTGGGAACATTACTAGCATTTAGAGATTTTTTTGCTAATCCCAACCTTTTCCCAAGGCTGAGAAGAGTCTGTGCAAGTCTGGAGATATGCATCAGCGGTTTGGGGATTTCTTCTGCAAGTTTTTGATTGTTTTGGGCAATAGCATTTGAAGTCAATCAGGTTCATGTTTCAGGCTCTCAAATAAAGTCACTGAAAGTCACTGAAACCTTTCAAAATGGTAGTCTACTTTGGGAACCAAACTTCTTCAGCAGGCACAACTTGAGCCAAAAAATACATGCAACCCCATCACACGTGTATTGGTTTGGAGTTCCTAAAGTCCTGTTCTACCAGCAATATTCCACTCTACACCTTATACCTATTTACTGCAATAGGTATGACTCTATAGAAGAGTACAAGTGTTACTGGAGGTGTGAGTGGTTTGCTGAAAGGGACTGTGAAATGGGAGAACAAGACACAGAGCAAAAAAACATGATGTGGTGAAGACACCAGATCAATTCGAACACAGGAATTACAGTTTACAGAACAAAAAGAAAGATTTATTTGAATAGGATATTATGTTCTCACTGCTAGCTGTGCTCTTTGCTCTAAGCTTTATACCTTGAGGCATTAAGCAACTGTTTCAAGCAACTCTGGCCCCACCTCCCCATGTTCTTTAACTGCTGCAGTGTCCCTGATGAGTTATTTTCCTTGCCCTTTCTAGAGAGCAAGGTTTTGTCCGTCACAGAAGTACGAAATGGAGAGGTCCAAGTTTTCTAGAATGGTTTAGGGTGTACAAATCTCAAACTGTTGGAGTTCCAGCCTGTCCACAATTGCAGAGGACAATTCTGTTTGCACTTGAATCTGTGCATTGATGTCATAGCCTTTTCTTCCTCACCATCTTGATTCACACCTCTGACTTCAGCCCCTTCTCTTGTATCATGAAATAGAACCAATCGCATAGAGAGTTCATCAGGTTTTCAAAGAGTTGGAGACAAGAGAAAGTTGGCAAGTTTGAAAGTTATGGTTGAACAATTCAGTCAGAGCTTCTAGTGACCACCACAAGAAGAAAAAAAAAGAGAATATCTCCCATCGTGCTCCCACACCTCCCCATTTCCAGCATTATCAGAACACCTTACTTTTGGTGAGCCAAAGGTGCACTTCAGCTTCCTGATCTCTATTGCATGTGCTATTTCTTCCCAGTCATCAAACGTGTCATCGCGATATGCTAATGACACATCCAGTGTAATTTCTGCGTTTTCTTCTGCAAGAGTAAGGAAACATCAAGCTTGTTAGGCAGGACAGGAATGGTACAGAACACTGGAAAGGTGGAAGAGCATCAAAATGCTGAAAGGGCCTTTGAAAGAGGTAGAAAGTTACAGTGAGAATTAAACCTTTGCATTACCAACAGTACACGCCAAACTACCTTTATTCAAAACATTTATCACCTCTCTAATAGAAGAGGAAGAGCCTAATTTCTGTTGGACATAAAAGCCTGATATTGCGCTAACTTGTGACCTACAGCTTGTGTCATAGTTGTGGGTGAAGACCATTATTTATATAGCATTAGAAGCTACAGTTCATATAAAACTGAAACCTAGACAGTTGCAAAGACAGTCAATAAACCAAGAAGTAATCCAGCAGACTCTTCACCACAGGTTGGTGGAGGGACTAACAAGACAGGCTTTTATTCAGACCTTCTGCAGTTAAGATACAGATATGCAATAGGTCCTTCCTTTTCAGGTAGTAACTATATTATATCATAAAATATGTTTTAAGTTGACACTGAAACTTTGCTTAGTTATAAAAAAACCACACACAAAAATGATGAACTATATAACAGCACATGGTTCAGTGAACTATATAAACAAGAAATTACATAACTAATGGTAAATTTTATTAAACATGATAGTAAAAGTCATCTAGCAATCTAACTTCAGATTTCTTCTGGTGGCTAGGTTCACCACCCATGCACCTAGTAGGAAGAGCACTGTCCTGAAGAATTGAACAAGTTCAGTTCTTGTTCAGTTCAACTGAACACCATCAACAAGCATTAAAACATGCCTAATATCTAGAATAAAAAGGCGTTTGACAAAGATGCATTCCACAAGACAGATTTTAAATGAAAGAAAGAAAAAGGCTGGCAGAGATCTTAGGCGGGGGGGCACGGAGAGACACTGCTGAGAAAAAGGTAAGATGCATCCTCAAAAGTAAAATCCTCAGAATTACCCATAATTAGGATTTCTGGATAAACCAGGGTTCCCAGAGTAATAAGAAACATTACACAAAGTTCCTTTTAAAATAAAGTTTAGCTATGTTGGTCTTGCTGGGAAAAGGAAAGTCCTATAACCTCAGAGAAAACAGTCTCAGTATGATGTTTTCTATCTGTTATCATATAACTGAAGTCACTCTACACAAGATTGTCAGAAGAATTTTGGACCCCCTCCATCCCAACACAGCCCAAGAGCAGCACTGCCTTGTTTCTGTCTTTACAGAAGCACCAATGTGCACTTCAGCAAACACACATAGAGCATTTATACACCTGGATAAGGCGACCACAAGATTTGTCTCAGCAGATTGTTTCTCCCTTGCCTGGAGAATAGAGTAGAGGGGCAAATTAATAATTAGGAGAGATAAGATGTAGGATTCCTGGGTTTGAAATGTCATGATAGGCCAGCAATTCTTCATCAAACTGCAGCTCGCAAGGCATGCAACAGGTCACGCAGCAGACCAGAAACACCAGCATTTGTATCAGCGGCTTCAGTTCTTCAGGACAGTGCTTTTCCCATTATGCACAGTCAACCTATCCTTTCCTGGACATGTTCAGAGTTAGTATATGGCATGCAACTGCTTTCAAACACACTCTGTGTAGGATGTTGCCAAGAGGTCATTGCTGTAAGAAGGAAATGGGTTTAAAACAGACTTACTTAGATACCATAGTTGAGCAAGTCCACAGAATCGAAACAGTTACAAGTACGTCTGCTAAGCAGCAACACAAACAGTTTAACAACCTAAAGCAAGTCTGTACCAGCTTTACCAGATGTAAAATCCTCCTATTTACTAGGCATAGATCCAAGGGAAGGCTCTCAAAGAGCAACACGTTCTGAAATAAACATGAGCATGCTACAACCTAGCCTATTTTCATAACTCAAACTCCTCAAGGTAGTTGCAGCCATTGAAAAATTGTTAGAAGATCGCTACAGAGCTATCCACTATTTATTGTGCCAGTGCTGAAATACTGTACTCTTTATTACAAAGAGCTCATATTTTTGAAGTTCTCTAGAAGCATGATGTGGCATGCTTGTGAACTCAGTAGGTCAGAAATTTCTCTGTGGGGAAGTCCCTTTCCCCACCACCACCCCCCACACAAATTCCATCTACTCTGCATCTTTAGATAGTAAGTCAGCACACACACTATATCACTAAATATATATATTCAGACTTTCAACATGTTTAGTGGAGCAGACCAAGTGGAACACCTACAAAACGTAAAGGGGCATAGCTTTCCACTGTGAACTTTGTGTGTGAAAAAAGCTACCTCTCTCACAGCAAAATTCTACATAAGGGAATGGACTGCAAAGAAAATCAGTATCTGGCACACTTAAGCATATACTGCTTCAGTATTCCAAAAAAAAAAAAAAATCTGGTCTTCATAATTCTGAAATGTTTAATGTCTACAAGTAAGCATGAATCTCTGAAGCGTTACATGTCCCATATATTTGTCATCATTTTGAGTTATATTTTTGTTGGGAATATGTGGTGGCACACTCATCCAAAATGATGGGAAGGGGTGTGGATGGTCTCTGTGGTTTAGACTTGCTATTTATACAGTGTTTGGAGGTGGTTCCGTTATGCTTTAATGTGGATGCAACAAGATTTTTCAGAGCATTTCTTCTGTACACACATGATCTATACTGTCCAGGCTGACAGCAAGTTCTTTTCTACTGCAGCCATTTGTTAGGCTTCTATGAAACATGAATTTTCCATCTCCAATCTGCTATTTAAAAGACCAGCAAACATGGATAAAGGGTAACATAAGGTTAAACTTGGCCCCATTAAAGGGAACTACAAACTTTATTTCAGAAGCCATAAAACCAGCTGGAACATTTGGGATTAAATCCAACAGAAACCGCTTTTATTATTTCATCTTCGTAATCCAAATGTTGCTGCTGCAATTGCATATGAAAACCAGAAGGCAAAAGATATACTCATGTACCTTTCCAACCCAATGAAAACGTAAATTAAACTCTCCCTCTGGATTTCCATTAAACCCTACATTGGGATACCATCTCCCCTTAGAACAGAATTTTTTACAGTGACTCAAGACTGCCAACATAAAACAGAAAAGAATAAGTATTCCAGCACTGCAGACTGATACCACTACATCAGTATGCCCTCTGCCTCTTTTAATAGCAATTCCCATTGTTTGAGGGGAACGAATAAGGACGACACACTATTTGGCAGAGAACTAATTTTTCAGGAGATTTGTAACTTATGTCTTTTAATATTAATGTGAATAAGACAGTGGATAGACAATGGGGGGGGGGGGCTTTTCAGGCACAGCATTACTGCTTCTGAAGTCCTTTGAATACTTGTGGCACATATGTGCCTGTGCATGCACATATACATGCAGGGAAGAGGGAGGCAGCAGGAGACCAGGGCTGACATTCCACTACACTTGGCTCAAGTGAAAAGAAAGGCATTTTAAAACAACGTTCTTTACCATCAAGACAGTGGATGAGAGGAGGGAACAGGAAGCTGGCCACAGAGTCAGTATTTGCTTCTGGGGAAAAAAAAAAAAAAAAGATTTTTCCAGCTTCTTTTCAAACAGAAGAACATAGTTATGCCTTGGGAACCAGGTACTTTAAAAGAATAAAGATCAACAGTATGGGACATAAAAACAAAACAAAAACAGGCACAAGCTATGCAAAGCCAATTTTCTTACCGGAATAAAGTCATGGCCTATGAGAAAACTAAAGCCAGGCAACAGACTGCCAGAGCACCCCACTAACCAAGTGTGGGAGAGGAAAGGGCCCCAGAGAGTGCCACGTTCTTTTCTGCTCAGTATCATCTTCTCTACTTCCCTTTTAAAGGAAAGCATAGTATTTTTTGGAGCAGAGTGTATTACGGCAGTCAAATCCTAACAAGATCTCAGGTAGATGGCACCATCTAAAGACAGTGAAGAAGGAAACAACTTCCTAATTTTCTTTGTAAAAAGAAAGAGATGATGAATACAGAAAAGCAATGCCAGAGGAAAGAGTATTTTATATATTCAAGGTTGAGCCAGAACAGATAAGGGAAGGACAGGGAGGAGAAGAGTAAGAAAACAAGCAAGGGAAAGAATAGAAAAAGCTATAAACCTATACTCAGCTCAGGGAAAGTAATTGTACAGTTCCTCCATGCATGGCAATTAAGATTTTTCCAGAACTTCCCAACAAAGAGTAGAAATACATAGACAGAAATCTCCATCTTATTCAGTATCAAAAGATGAAATTGTCCTTGCTGGGAAATGTCATCTCACAAAGACTGTGGCTGCACCTCCTCAAGACATAGTCACAGGAGAAATCTTGCAAAGAGTCACTGGCCACACAAACGCTGAAAAAGAGTCTTCACCATTGGATGTTTAATACAGCAGTATAAATAAAGTCTAGGTAATTTGGAGCCTGGTAAATCACCTCTGATTAGCAACACAATGACAATCTCACTAGCATCCCAGGATTATGTTAAAACACTTGCAAAAAATAAGACTACAGGTTTGTTTTAGTAATGATGTGTTCTGCAGATGACAAGCTACAAGAAAAGATGTTTTTGCTGGGATTTTCAGCATTTAGGCTACTCACTGATACTTCATTCACAGGCCTACACAACACTATAAAGTAGGTCACAGCTGTGAGAGCCCTGTACTACAGCACTATTTGGTACCCTTCATGCTCTGAGCACTGCCAATTTCTTTTTTTTTATTTATTTTTAAATCATTTATTTTCTTATTTATTTTTAATGCTAGATATTCAGTATCCAGGATCTTTTCCATATTCACTTTGAAGCATGATATTAGCACACGATGTCTTCACTCACATTACAATAGCCTAAAAATAGAGAAGTTGTTTAGAAAGATGGCTCTGTGCCAGCTGCACACTAATACAGCTATCTGAAGAGAAGTCTATGCAAGCAACCAGAAACAAAATTTAGGATTATTTAGATTATGTTTTTGTGCTATACTAGCCCTCTAAAACTACAAAACCTAACAGAGACCAAATATATATT